CCCAGCCAGGCATCCTGGGGTGGCACAGCCTGCTGGGGCACAGGCTGGTGTGCCAGGAGAACCTGGGGAGCTGCGAGCAGCACCTGCCTCCTGCAGCTGCACAGGGGGGGAGCCTTGGCATGCCAGGAACCTCACTGGTGTGCCAGGACCATCATTGGCATGCTGAGAGCCTCACTGGTGTGCCAGGAGCCTCACTGGTGTGCCAGGACCATCACTGGTGCGCTGAGAGCATCACTGGTGTGCCAGGAGCTTCTCTGGCGTTCTGTAACCATCACTGGTGTGCCAGGAGTCTCACTGGTGTGCCAGGACCATCACTGGTGTGCCAGGACCATCATTGGCATGCTGAGAGCCTCACTGGTGTGCCAGGAGCTTCACTGGTGTGCCAGGAGTCTCACTGGTGTGCTAGGACCATCACTGGTGTGCCAGGAGCTTCTCTGGCGTTCTGTAACCATCACTGGTGTGCCAGGACCCTCACCAATGTGCCAGGAGCCTCACTGGTGTGCCAGGACCATCACTGGTGTGCCAGGGGTTTCACTGGTGTGCCAGGAGCCCCATTGGTGTTCTGTGATCCTCACTGGCATGCCAGGAGTGTCACTGGTGTTCTGTGACCCTGACTGGTGTGCCAGGACCATCACTGTTGTGCCAAGAGCCTCACTGGTGTGCCATGAGCTTCATTGGTGTTCTGTAAGCATTACTGGTGTGCCAGGAGCCTGAATGGTGTGCCAGGACTCTCACTGGCATGCTGAGAGCCTCTCTGGTGTGCCAGGAGTGTCACTGGTGTGCCAGGGGCCTCGCTGGTGTGCCAGGACCATCACTAATGTGCCATGAGCCTCCCTGGTGTGCCAGGAGTGTCACTGGTGTTCTGAGACCCTCAACAGTGTGCCAAGAGCTTCATTGGCATTTTGTGACCCTTACTGGTGTTCTGGGAGCCTCACTGGTGTGCCAGGAGCCTCACCAATGTGCCAGAAGCCCCACTGGTGTTCTGTAACCATCACTGGTGTTCTGTAACCATCACTGGTGTGCCAGGAGCCTCACTGGCACCCTCAGCATGCCAGCACCCTCATGGTGTGGCTCCCTCCNGGTGTTGGTGGCACCAGGCGTGGGGTGAGGAGCTGCAAAGTCACCTCTGACAGCAAATCTCTTCGGGATGGCTGCAGGCACTGGCTCTGCTGGGGATTCTGTGGGATTTCTGTGGGATTTCTGTGGGATTTCTCTGGATCCCCGTGCCCCTGTTGGGCACCAGCACCACTGGGCACAGCCCCACCACCCACCACCTTTTGTGCTGTGCCAGCCCCAAAGCTTCCCACACACACCCAGGGACTCAGCAGGGCTGTTCCCTCTCTTGCAGACGCTCTCCCCTCTGCAGAGGATGATGATGATGAAGATGATTCCTCGTCGGAGGAGAAGGAGGCTGATAACACCAAACCCAACCGTACGTGCGAGCTGGCACTGCCCTGTGGGCAGGCAGGGGGAGGCTGGGCACAAATGGGCATCACCCAGGGGTGGGGAAAGCAGCCCTGGGCACCTGGCAGTGTTGAGGGCACGGAGGGGAGAGCAGGGCTGGGTTGGGGTCACATTGGGATCACATTGGGAGCGTCCATCCCACAGGGAAAGGGCTGCTGTGTCTCTGGGTGATGCCCCAGAGCTCCAAAACAAGAAATAATCAAACTTTCATTGCTTGGATAAAACTGTTGAAGGAAGGGGACTAGGACACTATTTGGTTCATCACAGGTTTAACTCAGTCTCAGTCTGGTCTGGTTTGGTTTATTGCAGAAAGTATCAAACACTTATACAGTAAATAATAAGCTTATGAATATTCTGTAAGCTAAGCAATTTATTGGTTAAACTATACTATGAACTCTTCTTCATTCTTTAGAAGTTACATCTCTCTTTTCTCATGTCTCTTTCACTATTTATTATCTTACTGCAGCTAAACCCCAAAGACACACTATCTACACAAGTGCAAAACTTAGAATTAACCACAGTTTTGTACTTTTCCAATCCTTAACCAACCAAACTCCCAACANCTGGAATTTCCATGGGGTGAAAGGTGTGCCCTGCCAGGCTGGGAATTCCTGAGCAGGGTGGGCAGGGAGGCACCCAGGGAACAGCCCCTGACAGCTGCTCTGTCCCCACAATCCTGGTACAAATCCCCTGCTCTCTGCCCCACCACCAGCCCTAAAGGTGTGTGTGTGTGTCATGGCTGCCATCCTACCTCGTGCAGGTAAAAGGAGAATTGTTTCTCTTTTCCTGTGTCTGCCTTGTTCCTTTTGGCCATCTCTGTAATGGTCTCCCTCAGGAACTTGGCCAACTCCAGCCTGGCATTCAACTTCTTCTTCAGCTTCTCTTCCTTCATTTGGGAAATACAAAGTTATAAATCAGAAAACGGAATTGCTGTGGACATTTTTTCTGAACCCTGTCTGCAGCAGAGCCTTCCAATTGTCCCACTCTATTGAATTTTTGGGGGTCCCCAGGATGAGGTGAGAGATGAGAATTTGACTCTATGTTCTTAGAAGTCTCATTTATTATTATATTATTTATATTATATTGATATATTATTTATATAACTTATATTTATATTGTATTGTATTTATATTATACTGTAATTATATTATATTGTGATTATGTTATGAATGCTATACTAAAACTATACTAAAGAAAGAGAAAGGATACAGAGAGAAGGCTTAACAAGAATGAATAATAAAAACAGCTGCCCTGCACAGCTGCCCAGATGTTCTGAGGAGCTGGGGACACTCCACAAACCTTTTTTGACTCTGTCTCAAACGTGGAGGGCAGCATGTCAGGGAAGAGCTTCAGGAACATAGGTAACAGAAACTCCATGAAGGGAACAATGACAAACACCAGGAAGGGAACCAGCCTGAAGAGATCTGCACAAGTTCTCAGCAGCTGCAGGGAGAAAAGCACAGCAGGGATTACCAAAGTGGGCCCAAAGAAGGGGTTAAGCCTCTTACTGCATCACTTTATCCAGGTGTTGTTGATAGTAAAAGATTTTAAAATCATAGAAAATTCGGGGAGCTAGAAAGAAAATTAGGCTTAGTAGGCCCTGGGGAAATGTTAAAGGTGGGCCCTGGGAAAGTTAGATTAGATATTATATTATATATCATATATTATATATTACATACTACAAAATATATTGTATATCATATCATATTAAACATTATATCATATATAATATACTATATATTACATTATATATTATATAATATTAAATAGTATATGTTATATTATATACTACATTACATATAAATTATATATTATATATTGCATATACTACATAAACAATATATTATATATATTACATATATAATAGATATCTTATATATTTTATATTATACATATTTTATATACGATACATTATATATAATGTATAAATTTTACATCTATGATATTATATATAATAGACGATACATTATTTTAAATTATATATATTATATAGGTTATATATTGTATATGTTATATATATAATATATATAACATATTATATTACATTATATATACTACATTACATTATATCATACTATATCTTGCTAGATGATGTGAAACTGTACCTGTGCAGACAATATATGATAAATGATATAATTTTTAGATGTGATTAGATATAATAATTGTTTAAAGGAGCATGAGAAACTATTTTAGAGGTTTGAGGGGATCACGAGAAATCCATGCTTGGATGAAATGAATGCATACAATAAAACAATGTAAGTTCAATAATATGTAATTAATAGGATATATATTTATATGTGCATATATATGTAATTAATAGGACATATATAATATGTAATTAATAGGATATATATTTATTTTTATATGCATATATATTTATATGTGTATATATATTTATATGTGCATATATATGTAATTAATAGGACATATATAATATGTAATTAATAGGATTGATAGGATATAAAACATGCTCAGCTCAAAACCATGCTGGAGTCAGATCTGGGTCTGTACCCCTGACCCAAACAAAAGCACCTGCACATAATTATTCTGTAACTCTGAGTTCCTGAGCACTAACACTGTGGCACTCACCCTTCTCCTCTCCCTCCTGGTGAGCACCTGCCCGTGCAGCAGCCTCCACACCATCCTGGCAGCCACCTTGGTGTCGATCCAGAGCAGGTGGAACCCATTGTAGTAATGCTTCAGCTCATCCACAACCCTCTGCCTCAAAGGTTTCTTCCCTGCAGGAGCCACCACCTGCTTGGCCAGGTTTTTGGCAGCTTTAGCTCCCTGATTCCTGGGTTTTCCATGGGGCTCCCCTGGCAGCTGCTGCTGGGAGCTGCTGCAGGTGTGCAGGG